CCCCTCAGTGAGGGCAGCAGTCTCTGCTTTTTCTTCCATAAGCTGTGTGTCCTTGAGTACCACCTGTGTGACCCCTGAGCCATGCCTGACACCTCATCTGCCAGCTGGGGTGACACCCTTTCCCTACGACTGCTGTTAGGCTCAGATGGGGTGTCAGATAGGCAGGTATACACATATAAAGTTTGCGCACACTTAGCTTTCTGTGCTTTACACAGAAAGTGCTTTACACTTGCATGCCCACTAGCTGATTTGAGCCTTGACTGCTTATGAGGTAAGGGTAAAGATCAGGCCCAATTTACAGATGAGAAAACTGAGGTAAGGAGCGATTAGGCGGCTTCAGGGAGAAGCATGATGGGCAGAGGTAGCGTGAACTTTGCAGTCAGACAAGATTGGTGCTTTGCCACTTAGTTGACATGTGCCCTTTACTTGTCTGTAAAGTGGGTGAGAGCCGCTGTGCCCCAGAGTTGTCATGCATATGAAATGAGATTCGAGAACTTAAGTGTCGGGCAAACAGTATCTCATCCCTTCTTCTTTCCCCTTCTCCCACTGTGTCTGTCTGACTCAGAGAAAAGGCAAAGGAGCCGGGGCCAGGCCAGGCCTCTTGTCCTGACCAGGCTCCAAAGAGTGGGGTGAGCCCTTGGCCTCGGGGGTGGGGTGGTGGGAGCTCCCTATGCATGGGAGACCACAATGGCATGATTTCCCCACACAACTGTGGGTGCACCACATCCAGAATCCACTGTGAACGGAACCCTCTCCCTGCATGCCAAGTTCCTGGCATTCTGGACCATGACCCTGGAGACCTGGAGCTGGGTGGACTCAGCTGGCCACTAAGGCAACAGTAGGTGGTGTGAGGGCCATTCCACATCTGCCCTCTAAGCAAATTTCCTGCTGTAGGCTGGGCCCGCCTGGCACCTGGGCCCTGCCCTAACCTGCCAGCTATCATCCTAAGCCTACGCAAAGCCTATCTCATGTCCCCAGGGCTCCAAGAGGATAGGGCAGGGATGTGGTTGGAGGTAAGCAGGTAGTTTATGTGGGGGGCTGGAAGCCTTGTTACCCATATTTTTCTGAGTGTTGTCAAAACCTTTTTCATTTTTCCTCCTCCTAAATCTGTGGAAGGGGAATTACTATTCCCATTTTACAGGTGGGAGAAAGAGGTTCAGAGAAGGTGAGAACTCTGCTTGCCTGCCTCCAGGAGCAATGTTTTTTGCCCTGCCCTCATCTGTGAGGATGCTGGGAGGTTGGAGGAGGGTGAGGGCCTGTTGGCCTCCCCAGCTGTGGGACTCCTGGGAAGGAAGGTTTGCGAGAGTTTCCAAGAGCCCTGGACAGGGAGCTCCATATCTGGCCCCTGCTGGGTGCCCTGCCTCACACTGTGCTATGGGCTGGGGTTCAAACCCAGGATCCCCATCAAGTTGTCCTGTCACCCTGGTCTGTGACTGAAAGCAGAGAGCCTCCTCCCCAGTGGGCCACTCTGGGGCTGCAGTGGTCCTGGGCTGAGAAGACATAACACACTGCCAGGGAGAGGCCATGTCCTTAGGGGTTGGTGGGTGCTCATCTGAGGGGCAGCCACAGATTCCCAGCACGTCACCTCCAGCAGCTCTGAACCCAAGTCCCATTCACTGACTCTCTATCTTCTGGCCAGCGTCTTGCCATTGGCGTCTTCCCTGGTCTACACAGCAAGACCATTGGTACAAATTAAACTGCTTCCCCAGTTGCTCCAAACCACCCATCGTGGGCGAGTGCCTTGGCTTCTCTGGGCCTGTGTGGGTTCTGCCTAGCTGGACACCTATGATGAGGCCCCCCTTCCATATGTGAGACCTTTGGGGTTCTGTTGATGGCTCCCACTTGTATATTATGCAGCAAGTGCCGCCAGCATTATTGCATTTAATCTTCACTCTGTCCTGTGAGGGAGACACCGTTACTGTTACCTACTCCATAGAAGAAGAAACTGAGGCTCTAATTCTTGGAGCTACTGACCCATGATCTCCTATTGAGAATGTGGCAGGGCAGGGAGATAACCAGCCAGTGCCCAGACTCATAAGCAGCCTTTGAGAGACTCGGTGTCAGAAGTGACCTTCAAGATCATACAGTCAGCCCCATATCTAGCAGTCCCCCTCCCAAAGCAATAGGAGCCCACACCTAGGATCAGTGACACTCCCACAAAGCAGGGTCCCAGAGGTGAAGGGTCACTGGCTCCCTGGACATGATTTGCCTGGGCTCTGAAAGGGCTGATGGCCGGTCTCATTTCTGTGGGCCTTTGAGCTGGGGTGTAGGTGACTGTCTTGGAATCTGGCCTGCTTAGCCTGGTCAGTGCTTCTGGTCTGTGGATCAAGTCCCTGTAGGGCAGTGCAGTTGGCCAGGGTTGGGGCAGGGTGAAGAGTCACAGGAAAGCCAAATTGTCCAGAGACAGAAGTGGTTGACTTGGTGGCCACTGAGTTCTCCATCCCTGGAGGTATGCAAGCAGAGGGAATCCCTTAACAGACTTACTATATCAAGGCCTCAAACATCCAGATGGGCAGAAGAATTGAGGTTGCCCATTCTACCCTGAACATCACAACTCTGATCTAGTAAAAGATATTTCAGTAAGCTGGGAATGTTTCTGTCCATGGACCATCACTCAGTCTTTCAACAAACATCACCTTCCCTCAGCCCCTGAGTCCTCAGAGTTGGTCTCTGCTCTGAGGGACAACTAGGTGATGACAGAA